TAGGTGTTCCTGAGGCTCTCCGTCCCTTTTCCCTGCCTGGGCTTCACCTTGATACTGCCTGGAGACCAAGGTGAGCCGGGAGGCCCCTGGGGGATAGAGTGGGACCTGGGGGGTGTGGGTCTGAGGGCAGAACATCTCCCTGCGTGGCTGAATTAAACATCTATGGATATTATGCAAAAGCCTTTTTTGCTTCTTCACCCCAGACTTTACTAGCAGCAATTTAGTCTGCAACAGATTAGATTTATGTGAATCCACCTGCAAACACAATAAAGAGAGTGAGTGAGACCCTACAGCCAGGCTCTGAGCTGCACGATGCTGCAGCTTCAGCCCAAGTTTTCATCTTCTGATGTGAACCAGATTCACATGGCTGACATCCCTACAAAAGCCATTTAGGGACGGGCTGCATCCATCCTGGCTGTGCCTCAGAGCACATACATTGATATTTTTATCAGCTTTTGCGAAAGGAACAGCCTTGACTGTACTCATGGACAGCTGTAAAACCATCTAACTGGTACAGCTGCAAAAAGTTTTGATTGCATTTCCAGGAAACCAAGAATGAGTTTCAGTTTCAGTTTGGCTATATCATGTTTTCCTGTATTAAAACTAAAAAAATATTGGAAAGGATGTAATAACAAAGGAGAGCAGAAAAAAACCAGGAATTCTTGTCTTGATTATTTCAAGCATTGAAAAACTAATGTTTAAAAAAAGCAAAGAACTACTATTTTTTTTTTTTTGAGAAGCCACAAGTTTTTCACAGCAACCCTTCTGATTCTTTCCCTGATGGGGCTGCCAGGGCAGTGAGTGAGCAAGGGCCTGCCTGGTGCTTTGCTGCTGGCTGGGGTTAAACCTGGACAACCTGTTCAGAGCACACAAAACCAGCCAGCCTCTCACACACAGCTCTTCTGCTCTCACCTGTCCCTGCAGGCCAGGCAGTTGCCTGTAAGAAAAGCAGCACAGACTCCGTGTCTCACAGGTGGGATGCAGCTCACCTGCTTCCAAACACTCAGGGAAGA